GCCCGGTTGACCGGATGTGCAGCGAGAGGACTCTAGCGTGAGTACGCGAAGGAAGCATGAAGAGAAATTCCTTGAAGGACACCAAGAACGGAGGAAAAACAACTGAGGAGCGTGCAGAAGAAAGAGTAAACTACGCTGGATAACTCTGGACGAAGCCAGCGGCAACGGCAGACCGTCCGTTGAAAAACAAAGATGATTAAGTTTGCCTCTCCTCCTTCCCTTGTTAGTAGCTTATTCCAAGGAACAGAAAGGAAATTATTTTATTTATATTTATGAATGTGCCTCAGGTGGTATTCTGAAATGGTTTTCTGGGTCAGGTTTACTACGCGTAGATGCTATGTTTTATGGAATTGATTTTTGATAAATTATATTTTAAGGCAGAAGCCTAGTCGCTCGTGGAGAGCCTGGTGATCACATGTTTTGATTTAAAGTAACCAGAAAGGTTTTCTTATTATTCGTAGTAACTCGTGATTTGATTCAGTTTTTATTTAAGTTTACTTGTCAAGGAGAGTGATTATCTTTTGAAGTGGGGAAAGGAAGGGAACTATCAGGGGAAGGCGCAAAGCCATTACGACTATATTGAGTTGGGAAGGGGTAAGGATAAGGATTTGGGTTGGGACGAGGGGAGAGGGGGGAAGGAATAGTGCCCAACCACTTGAACGGTCAGAGATTGAACGCCAACCAGTATGCAGCGAGCCCATCGCTCTACCGTCCAGCTCAAGTGGTTCGTGTGAGGCTACCAAAGTATAACCAGTTTGATCCCCTTGGCAGATCATACAAACACCCCCCCCCCCCCCTTCCCATGAGACCCACTTGGGCTGGACGGTAGAGCGACGGTCTCGCTTCATGCAGGTCGGCGTTCAATCCCCGACCGTTCAAGTTGTTGGGCACCATTCGTTTTCCCCGTCCCATCACAAATCCTTATCCTGATCCCTTCCCAGTGCTATGTAGTCGTAATGGCTTGGCGCCATTACGTTAAGAATGGAATAGCAAGGATAGAGAGGCAGTACATGGGCTACTGAAGGGGTTACAGATGGAAGGGGCTGAACAAATATTGAGAAGGTTTTTAGGTTGGGCTGGTACAACAAGGACAGAAACCGACTTGTAAAGGTGGTGTTTACAAACGAAACCACGAAGGAGGATATTCTCGAAAGGAAGAGTCGTCTGCAGCATGTGGAGGGATACAAAAAAGTATTCCTGCAGAGGGACAGGACGAAGGAGGAGAGAGCCAGGGCAGCAGAGGCAAGGAGGAAGTGCAGGGAGGGAGGAGCAAACCAGGAAATCACAGCCCCCAACACAACAGTCCCAGAGACAAGAGGGGAACCCAAAACCAGCATCCCAGCAACACCAGAGGGGAGGGCAACACCACCACCCCCATCTGCATAGAAACCCTCCCGTCCCCTCACCCTACCTTGCCCTACCCAACCCTCCCTCCCCCCCACCCCATTCTGACCCTGTCACCCATTCCCATCATGTCCCCCCTCCCACCTTTCCCTCCCTGTCCCCCCTCACCCCGTATCCTCCATGTCCCTCCTATCTCCTTAACCCACACCCTGCCTGTCCCCATGTCCCCCCATTCCCTTAACCCCCCCCCCCCCCCTCCACCCCAAAATCCTCTGAGACCCTGCAAACCACCTCACAGATCCTCTCTCCCACGGAACAGCTTCCCACACCAGCTGAATGCTCGCCAAGAAAGGGACATGAAAATGAAGAGAAGAAAGTGAGCTTCAAGGCAATGTATACTAACATAGATGGGATTACAAATAAAACAAGTGAACTCGGAGAATGGGCACTAGAAGAAAACCGAGACATAATAGCACTCACAGAAACAAAGCTAACGAAAATCATAACAAACGCAGTGTTTCCACAGGGCTACTATGTAGTGAGGAAAGAGAGAGAAGGGAAAGGAGGAGGTGGTGTAGCTTTGCTACTAAGAGAAGATTGGAGTTTCAAAGAGATGGTAATTCAGAACTGTGAACGTTTCAGTGACTACATATCAGGCACCATAGCAACTGGAAGACAGAAAATTATAGTAGTAGTCATATATAACCCCCCACCGAATGACAGAAGACCCAGACAGGAATATGATAGAAACAACTTGGCCACCATCAATATAATAGAGAGAGCAGCTTCTGTGGCTAGCAGGAACGGATCCAGACTTCTAATCATGGAAGACTTCAACCATGGGAAGATAGATTGGGGGACAGAGACCCACATGGAGGCCCAGACACATGGAGAGCTAAGCTGCTGGACGTGGCAACAAGAAACTTTCTAAGTCAACACGTCAAGGGACCGAAAAGAATGAGAGGAGGGGATGAACCAGCCTTTCTTGATCTGATATTTACCCTAAATGAGTCGGATATAAGGAAAGTTAAGTTGGAAGCCCCCTTGGGAATGAGTGATCATAGTGTATTGAGCTTTGAGTACCTGGTTGAGCTAGGAATTATCACCCCCAAATAAGAACTGGGAAACAAAGGGCTGGTGTACCGAAAGGAAAACTATGACGAGATGAATAAATTCCTATGAGATATACATTGGGACACAGAACTCAGAACCAAGTCCGTACAAGACATGATGGACTATGTCACCCAAAAATGTCAGAAGGCTGTAAGCAGGTTTGTCCCAGCCCGACAGGAAAAAACAGAGAAGCAAAGGAAGAATCTGTGATTTAATAGGGAATGTATGAAAGCAAAGGAGCTGAACAAAAGGGCATGGAGGAACTTCCGTAATAACAGAACACCAGAAAGTAGAGAGAGATACCAGAGAACCAGGAACGTGTATGTTAGTGTGAGAAGAGCAGCTGAGAAAAGGTAAGAAAATGATATAGCTAATAAAGCCAAGACCGAACCAAAGCTACTACACAGTCACATCAGGAGGAAGACAACAGTGAAGGAACAGGTGATGGAACTTAGGGTGGGCGAGGACAGGTACACAGAGAATGACAAAGAGGTGTGTGAAGAACTCAACAAAAGGTTCCAGGAGGTCTTTATAATAGAACAGGGAGATGTCACGGCGCTAGGAGAGGTGGCAGCAAACCAGGTGACCTTGGATAGGTTCGAAATTACAAGAGATGAGGTCAAGAAGCACATATTGGAGCTGGATGTGAGAAAAGCTGTTGGGCCGGACGGAATCTCACCACGGGTATTGAAAGAGTGTACAGGAGCATTTTGCATGCCACTTTCCTTAGTGTATAGTTGGTCACTGGAAACGGGAGACCTACCAGAAATATGGAAGACTGCTAATGTAGTACCAATATACAAAAAGGGTGACAGACAAGAGGCACTGAACTACAGGCCAGTGTCCTTAACGTGTATACCATGCAAGGTGATGGAGAAGATCGTGAGAAAAAACCTAGTAACACATCTGGAGAGAAGAGACTTCGTGACCACCCATCAACTTCGGTTCAGGGAGGGTAAATCTTGCCTTACAGGCTTGATAGAATTCTACGATGATGTGACAAAGATTAAGCAAGAAAGAGAAGGATGGGCGGATTGCATTTTTTTGGACTGTCGGAAAGCCTTTGACACAGTACCCCATAAAAGGTTGATGCATAAGCTGGAGAAACAGGCAGGAGTAACTGGTAGGGCGCTCCAGTGTATAAGGGAGTACCTAAGCAATAGGAAGCAGAGAGTTACAGTGAGGGGTGAGACCTCAGATTAGCGTGAAGTCACCAGTGGAGTCCCACAGGGCTCTGTACTTGAACCTATCATGTTTCTGATATACGTAAATGATCTCCCAGAGGGTATAGACTCATTCTTCTCAATGTTTGCTGACGACGAAAAAATTATGAGAAGGATTAAGACAGAGGAGGACAGCTTGAGGCTTCAAGAAGACCTGGACAACCTGCAGGAATGGTCGAACAAATGCCTGTTAGAGTTTAACCCAAGCAAATGTAATGTAATGAAGATAGGAGTAGGAAGCAGGAGACCAGATACAAGGTAGCATTTGGGAGATGAAATACTTCAAGAGTCAGAGAGAGAGAAAGACCTGGAGGTTGATATCACGCCAGACCTGTCCCCTGAAGCTCATATCAAGAGGATAACATCAGCAGCACATGCCAGGTTGGCTAACTTATGAACGGCCTTTAGAAACTTGTGTAAGGAATCTTTCAGAACATTATATACCACATATGTCAGACCAATCCTGGAGTATGCGGCACCAGCATGGAGTCCATATCTAGTCAAGCATAAGACTAAACTGGAAAAGGTTCAAAGGTTTGCCACCAGACTATTTCCCGAGCTGAGAGGTATGAGCTATGAGGAGAGACTACGGGAATTAAACCTCACTTCGTTGGATGACAGAAGAGTTAGGGGGACATGATCACCACATTCAATATTCTCAAGGGAATCGACAGGGTTGATAAAGACAGGCTATTTAACTCAAGGGGCACACGCACTAGGGGACACAGGTGGAAACTGAGTGCCCAAATGAGCCACAGATATATTAGAAAGAACTTTTTTAGTGTCAGAGTGGTTGACAAATGGAATGCATTAGGAAGTGATGTGGTGGAGGCTGACTCCATACACAGTTTCAAGTGCAGATATGATAGAGCCCAATAGGCTCAGGAACCTGTACACCCGTTGATTGACGGTTGAGAGGCGGGACCAAAGAGCCAGAGCTCAACCCCCGCAAACACAGCTAGGTGAGTACAACTATGTGAGTACACTAACATACACGCAAACACATACACAAATACACTCCTACACACACACAAACACACACATGGAGTACATAATGAAGAGCAAACATTTACTCAGAGGCAGTGAAACACATTACAATGTGTTTATTGAGAGGTATATGATGAAACATGAACAAACAGCTCACAGGGCGAGATGGCAAGCATGGTACCGTAACCCTAGGCTTTCACGTAGCCTCACATCCCAGGGCACCTCCCAGTTCACCTCCCAGGTCGCCACCCAGGTCACCTCCCAGGTCGCACCCTCCCCAACCATCCCTCCTATACCTTCCCCTTGCTTCAACACCCAACAACTCCCCCTGACCTTTCCACATTTGCTCTTCCTCAACAACTCTCCTGTCCCTGCTACATCGCACATGTCAACGACCCTCACGGGCCTAGCCATACTCTCCCCAAACCCACCTTCCCACCCCTCCTCCCCTACTACCCCCTCCAACTCCCCTGCCCCTTCTACCCCATTGCCTACAATTCCACCTGCTCCATCCCAGCTGCCAATGCACCCCTCTTCCCCTCACCCTCAAACCCCACCCAACCCTCACCCCTCCTCTGAACCCCCAGCTTCCATATAACCCCCTCACCTTGTGACCCCCTAACACCTTACCCCATCTCCCTCTTCCCCTCTTCTACCCCAAAACCACCATCTACCCCTGATTCTACCCTGACTAATACACCCTCTCTTCTACTCCCAGCACCCATGCTCCATTCTCCTCTCAGCCCTCTGCCTCCACTTTCCCTCTCCCTGGAGGCCTGGTCGACGACCGGGCCGCGGGGACGCTAAGCCCTGGAAGCACCTCAAGGTAACCTCCCCCTAACCTCTCAACCTCTATCTGACTCTCAGCATAACTCTACTTCTCAACCCCCAATGCCATTCAGACACTCCCTAATTTTCAGACCAAGTATGCCCTTCCTACCCCCCTAGATGCCCAGCCCCCATTCGCCCACCAGACACCCCAAGGCACCCCCTTCCCCAGACCCCCGGTGCAAAGGGGAACTCTGGCACCAGAGTTTCCAAGAAGAGTCTCATGGTTTGGTACACCAATGCTGATGGGGTATCCAACAAAGCAGAAGAGGTAAAAGAAAGAGTTAGTAAGGCAGACCCAGACATAGTTGCAACAGTGGAAACTAAAATAAATGGCAATCTTTCGGATGCAATCTTTCCAGAGGGGTACCAGGTGATAAGAAATGTTCACACGCAATAGTAACAGAACGAGGGGACATGGGTGGAAGCTGCAAACTTAGATGAGTCTCAGAGATGTTAGTAAGTATTCTTTTAGCGTGCGGATAGTGGAAAAATGGAATGCACTTAAGGAACAGGTTGTGGAAGCAAACTCTATTCATAATTTTAAAACTAGATATGCGAGAGAAATGGGACAGGAGTCATTGCTGTAAACAACCGATTGCTAGAAAGGCGGGATCCAAGAGTCAATGCTCGATCCTGCAAGCACAAATAGGTGAGTACAAATAGGTGAGTACACACACACACACACACACACACACACACACACACACACACACACACACACACACACACACACACACACACACACACACACACACGATGGACTTCATCACGCAGAAGTGCAAGAGAGCAGCAAACAAGTTAAGTCCCAATCCACAAGGAAATGAAGATGAGAAACCCATGGTTTAATCAGAGATGTAGGCTAGCTAAGCAGCAAAGTAAAAGGGCGTGGAGAAAGTATACGAATAACAGGATACTTGAGAGCAGAGGAAGATACCAGAGAGCCAGAAATGATTATGTCAGGATGAGTAGAGTGGCAGAAAGACAATACAAAAATGACATCGCAAGCAAGGCAGACCCAATCTAAATTGCTGCACAGCCACACCAGGAGAAAAAACACAGTAAAGGAACACGTAATGAAAATAAGGATAGGGGCAGAAGGATTCACTACAAACGGCAAGGAAGTGTGTGAGGAACTGAATAAGAAATTCAAGGAGGTCTTCACCTTAAAGACTGTTGAAATTCCAGAGATAAGAGAGGGAATAGTTAACCAGGAACCACTAGAAAAGTTTGAGATTACCAGTGGGGAAGTAAGGAAATGTTTACTAGAGTTGGACGTGACAAAGGCTATAGGCTCAGATGAAATCTCCTCTTGGATACTAAAGGAAGGAGCAGAAGCACTGTGCCTGCCACTCTCCATAGTGTATAACAAATCACTGGCAACAGGGTAACTGCCAGATATTTGGAAAGCAGCTAATGTAGTTCCGATACAAGAAAGAGGATAGACAGGAGCAACTGAACTATAGGCCAGTGTGCGAAAAACCTAATGGAACATCTGGAGCGAAAAAACTTTGAACACAGCATCAACATGGGTTCAGGGATGGCAAGTCCTGCCTCACAGGGCTAATTGAATTCTACGACCAGGCAACAAAAATCAAGCAAGAAAGAGAGGGGTGGGTAGATTGCATATTTTTGGATTGCCAGAAAGCCTTTGGTACAGTACCACACAAGAGGCTAGTAAAAAAGCTGGAGATGCAAGCTGGAGTGGAAAGGAAGGTACTCCGTTGGATAAGGGAGTACCTAAGCAACAGAATACAACGAGTCACTGTAAGGAGTTAGGTCTCAGATTGGCGTGACGTCACAAGTGGAGTCCCGCAGGGGTCAGTTCTTGGACCTATACTGTTTCTGATATATGTAAATGATTTCCCAAAGGGTATAAACTCGTTTCTCTCAATGATTGCTGATGATGCAAAAATTATGAGGAGGATTGAAACAGAGGATGATAGTATGATGCTAAAGGATGACCTAGACAGACTGAATGAATAGTCCAACAAATAGCTGCTAAAGTTTACCCTGAGTAAATGTTAAGTAATGAAATTAGGCGGTGAAAACAGGAGGCCAGACACAGGATACAGAATAGTAGATGAAGTACTAAATGAAACGGACAGAGAGAAAGATCTAGGAATTGATAATACACCAAACCTGTCTCCGGAAACACTCATAAAAAGAATTACTTCTGCTGCATATGCGAGGCTGGCTAACATCAGAACAGCCTTCAAGAACCTGTGTAAGGAAACATTCAGAATCTTGTATATCACATACATAAGACCAATCCTGGAGTATGCGGCCCCAGCATGGAGCCTGTACCTTGTCAAGAACAAGGCGAAGCTGGGAAAAGTTCAGAGGTATGCCACTAGACTAGTCCCAGAACTAAGAGGCATGAGTTACAAGGAAAGGCTGCGGAAAATGCACCTTACGACATTGGAAGACAGTAGAGTGAAGGGAGAAATGATCACTACCTACAAAATCCTCAGGGGAATTGACAGGGTAGACAAGGATAAACAATTCAACACTGTTGGTATGCGAACAAGAGGACACAGGTGGAAACTGAGTACCCACATGAGCCACAGGGACGTTAGAAAGAACTTTTTCAGTGTCAGAGTAGTTAACAGATGGAATGCATTAGGCAGTGATGTGGTGGAGGCTGACTCCATACACAGTTTTAAATGTGGATATGATTGAGCCCAGTAAGCTCAGGAACCTGTTTAGCAGTTGATTGACAATTGAGAAGCGGAACCAAAGAGCCAGAGCTGAACCCCCGCAAGCACAACTAGGTGAGTACAACTACGTGAGTACACACACACACAAACTCTGCGCCACAGTCCCCGTGGCGCAGTGATTAGACACTCGCCTGGCGAGCGCTTTGGTCTTGGCTCGTATCCTGGCCGGGGAGGTTTGACCGGGCATCAATCCCTAACTATAGCCTCTGTTCACCCAGCAGTGAATGGGTATCTAGTTCCTTACCGATTTGGCGGGGTCGTATTCCGGGGAAAGAAAATTAGGATAAAGGACCTGCCTGAATAGTTACGCGTGCTAGTGGCTTTGTGACAAGCTCAAACAACAAACACAATCAGAAACACACAAATTCACACACACACATACACACACACAAAGGCACATAAACACACTCTGAATAATTGTACTTGATTTAAAATACTTTTAATAAACGACCAAAAAACGTCATACGTACATTTGCTGGAGTTATTTCTATAAACAACCGGATGGCAGGAGTGAAAGGGAAGGTACTCCACTGGATAAGGGAGTACCTAAGCCACAGAAGACAACGAGTCACTGTGAGGGTCTCGGAGTGGCGAGGCGTCACCAGTGGAATCCCACAGGGATCAGTCCTTGGACCTATACTGTTTCTGATATTTATGTAAATTATCTTCCAGAGGAATTAGACTCGTTCCTCTCAATGTTTGCTGATGATTAAAAAATTATGAGGAGGATTAAGACAGGAAGACGGTATGAACTCCACAAGATACCCTAGACAAGCTGCAGGAATGGTTCAATAAATGAATACTAAAGTTCAACCCAAGTAAATCTAAGATAATGAAACTAGGTGGAGGTAATAGAAGGCCAGAAACGGGATACCGAATGGGAGATGAAGTCCTTTACGAAACGTACGGAGAAAAAGATCTAGGAGTTGATATCACGCCAAACTTGTCTCTTTAAGCCCATCAAAAGAATGAAATAGGCGCCGTATGCGAGGCTGGCTAACATCAGAACAGCTTTCAGAAACCCGTGTAAGGAATCTTTCAGAACCTTGTATATAACATATGTAAAATTAATCCTGGAGTATGTGGCCCCAGCATTGAGCCCGTACCTTGTCAAGCACAAGACGAAACTGGAAAAAGTTCAGAGGTATGCCACTAGGCTAGTCCCAGAACTAAGAGGCATGAGTTACGAGGAAAGGCTGCGTGAAATGCACCTCACGTCGCTGAAAGACAGAAGAGTTCGGGGAGACATGATCGCCACATACAAAATTCTCAGGGGAATTGACAGGTATACCAGGATGGATTATTTAACACGGAAGTTACACGCACAAGGGGACACAGGTGGAAGCTGAGTACCCAGATGAACCACAGATACATTAGAAAGAACATTTTGAGTGTCAGTTCGACACTAGTTAGACTAACTTTTTCAGTGTCAGTGTAGATAGTAAAGGGAATGCACTAGGAAGTGCTGTGGGGGCGGCTGACTACATACACAGTTTCAAATGTAGATATAATAGAGCTTGAAAAGATCAGGTATCTGTACAGCAGTAGATTGACGGTTGAGAGGCGGGACCAAAGAGCTAAATCTCAGCCCCCACAAGCACAACTAGATGAGTACAACTAGAAGGGAACACACACTCTCTCAAACAATTCAAATCACTCAAAACAATTTATTGAAATCCTAACTGTAAACAAAATAAAAATATACATATTTTGTATAACACTACACAAAATATATAAGTAAATAGTGTCATATGTTCAATTGGTCAGTATCACAGTGTAACCAGCCAAAACTGTAATACGCTTGGTTGTAACACAATATTGAACGATTAACGTACACTT